GCTCAAATATTCCCCATAACTTTCTCAGGATGAAGAACTTCAAATTGTATTGATGGCATTAGTGGGAAATAAAGATGTGCACATCACAGACACAGCTGGGTTTGTGGACTGCAATCTCAAGCCATACAATAACCATTAGATGCCTGAGACTTTGCCTCTCATTGTTTTTGCATCTTATTTTGTTTCATAGTAGGATATATAATTATAGTTTTCTTTTTTTGTTGTTTTGTTGTCTTTTACCATCTGAAAAAATGTAAAGGTTCATTTCTTTCTTTCTTCAAGCAACAAAACACCCATCTGAGCTATATCTGTGTGCAAATTGCACTAATATACCAACAAAAAATCCTATGCATAATTCAGTTACAACGTATTTAAAATACTAATATATTATACCCTTAAATGGATGAGAAGTGACAGGTTTTGATCCACCTTTTATACACAGTCTCTCATCCGCACTCGAACTGAAAATCACACAGCTATGCAGATACTCCCAGTTTCCAGCAAAGGCGGTCCATCCGCAGTCGCTCAGAACAGGGGCACAAAGGGCACGTTTGGGTGGGCCCCCTTCTCCCCCTTGTCTTGTAACCCGGAGCGGGAAGTTCATCTCTCTTATCTCTCCGTGCATTTTCCCACTGCAACCATTTGTAGAGGTACTAACTCGAGCTGCTTTTGTAAAAACAAACAAACATCTGTCACACTTCAGATTACACGGCAAACCGACCCGAGCAGAGGGGAAGAGAAACCACCGGGTTCTCAGTGAGGCTGTGACTGTGGTAAATGGAGAAAGACATGGTTCTCACAACAGTATCAGTGCTTGGTATCTATTCAGAGAGAAACCAGGACTTTCAAGTAATTAAAATGGGAGACCTGAATAGAGTTCACTGTAAGTCTGCCATTTATTCCACCAAAGTGGTAACCCAAACAGGGGAGCGCAATCGCATACTTTCACAATAGGGAGCCTACATAAATCCTCATGAATTTATATTAAAACTTGTCTTATATTCTATCAAGATGGAAGAACAAAAGAAAACAACCAACCTAAGATAATAAAATGCCAATGCTAATAGTGTCTATTGGGTTCTAAATATACAGGTCTATGAGAGACCAAGCTAATTTTTAGGCAGTCCTGGGGGCAAGGATTACTGGCTTATAGGATGAAGGGTAGAGAAACAAAAAACCCAATGTGTTAGTGCTAAAGTGAAATTAAACCCCATGAAGAGTCTCACAGAGGCTCTAACTAATCCTTCTTTGGGTTATCACAGACAGAGGAGGAAAAATACCACAATGACTTCCAAGTATTTTCAGTTTTACATGTTAGAGAACTGCAAATAGTTCATTAACCCACTGCTCTCCAGAAGGTTGTCTTCAAAAGTCTGTTTGATTATCCCATAATGGCATATGTGCTAATTTCCAGGTCAAGAAAGTCTTTCCAGAAATTAGATTCTCAGAGGAATGAAGCTTCAAAATGCCACAAAAGAGTGACATTCACTGGAAGGTAAGGATTTAAAACCTATGACTACTAATTTCAAAAACTTTACTGATTATTTGAGGAGCTTGGAAAACTGTCGTCTACTCTGAAATGCTTGCAACCTGATTGAGTATTCACCTACATGAGTGGTACCTTCCCCTGGTAGCACATTATCTCTAGGGCTCTGATGGCAGAAGGTGATAAACAACGAAGAACAAGGGATTCAGGCGTAGGAAAACACTTCCACACCAGCGAAGAGAAATAAACAGAGGTAGGAGGGAAAAGCTTACTCATAATCTTATTCAATCTAGGTTGTTAGCCTTCTGCACAGCTCTGCAGGTTTTAAATGTCACTGGTTAGATGGTTTACAGTGCCGTGGCCTTTCCCTTCACGAAAGTGCTCTTCAAGTCAACTTCCAGAACCATCAAAAAATCTCTTCATCTAAGAAACATCCTGGCTTTTACAGGATGCATCACCCTAAGTAATAATTCCTCTCTCTTATCTTTGGTGGGCCTCGCAGTAAGTTCAGATTCCTATGCATAAATGACTTGAGAATACTGTTGTGACTGACATCACCAATACAGAAGTTTAATATAGCTACACAAGAGCCTGCTTTTTTAACAAATATTTATCCAGGCATGGCACTATAGTATTTCATAGCTTTCATGACCCATTCTGCTATTGCTAAGAGTTATTTTACACATACTAGAAAGATGGGGTCTGCTTATTGCACTTTTTACATATTTCTATATTATATTAGAGTGTTTCTCTGCAGATTCCAGGTTTCATTACTCTCATGCCAATTTAAGCACAAAGATACTACTGAGAGAATCAAAGTTAACATCTTAATAAAATGTTCTCTATTTCTTTTTGGAAAAGCAGCAAGCAAAGTATGTAACCCAACCTTAAAAACAGCATCTTGCCTCTTTGCACCAAACCGATGACAGATAAAGGAAGTGGGGCAATTTTCAGTTCCAAAATATTCCTTTGACATAACTTGATTCTACTTCTGATAGAAAAGAAACAAGTTCATAAAGGTCTCCCTTCTAAAATGAAGATTTTTTCTTTTTAATGGCAAAATGCATGCAAAAAGCATATGATTATGGTATTTATGTTTCCATTAAAATGTCCTCAGCAAGCTGGAGGAGTCTAACCTACTATTTTCAAGCTATTTAGATTTACAGCATCACAGTGCCTATTTTATTTCAATTATATTTCAGGACAATGCACTCTTGGTGGGAAATGATTACAGAGTGACAGCCAGTAAATGTCCATTAGGAGTTGTCTCTCTACATGCTGCTCAGCTGTGGATGTCAGGTGATCACTATAAAACCCCACTGTATAGCACCATTGTCAACTACATGAAAAACAGTATTGAGCAATAGTACAAGTTCTCTTCTGTATGGTGCAAAACATACTAGAGACATTTTTCAGCTAAGTTAAAAGCTTTATCCTAAAGAAGAAAATTTTCTTGAGATACTTCTTTCCTAAATGGTAAAATATACATTTGACCTTGACTTCGCTTCATTAATGCCTAACAGAAGTGAAAAAACTTCCTAGCAGCCTGTCTCTGTATGCATCAGTACATAGGATGGAGATAATATAGCAAGGGCAGCTCATGTATATGTAGCTATACTGACCATCAATCACTCCCAACATATTTACTCATTTTATTTATTTATTTATTGCTAGAGCTTTGTTTCTTCTGAGCAATAAACTCCTGTGTTAAGAAAGAGAACCTGCTTTAATTCTCTAGGATCAAGAACAGAAAACCACTTTTTTAGTGCTACTGGAGAGAATTGCTATGACTAGCCTAACTGGAATGTGAAGTGTTTCAAGATTCACAGGAGCTACTTTTATGCATGGATTACATAAGAAGCCCAAAATAAAGAACCTCCCATATTTCAACTATATCTTTTACAAGTACTATCACTGAAAAACCAAACCAACAACAAACAAGGCTTTTCCCTCTGAACCCCACTAATATCCATAAATGACTTAAGTATGATGCCACACAAATCTGCATTGATTCAGTTCTAAACAAATTTCAAGTCCTGTAAGGATATATTTGAATTAAAATTACTATTTACAGAGTTGAAGTTTTTTAATAGCCATTGTTGGTAAGATGGGTAAAGCACTGTCACTTACACACATATAGATGTGTGTGTCTCCAATAAGTAAGTCAACACCTCTTTCTCCTTTGCTGTATTTTGACATTATAATATCTACTTTCTAATTTAGATAAACGGAAAAAGTTTAAGGAATAACCCAGTTCTTCTTACTGTTTTGTACTATCTGTCTACAATTGAGGTGCTTGGGATACATGCAAATACAACATATTTCCAAGAAGGAGATACAGACCTGTTCTCAATCCTGGTTTCAGTTAGGTTATGAAATAACTGTCTGATGACAGTACCATCATTTGTTGAATAAATATAATAGTTGTTCTCATAATATCCTTAAATGTGCAAAAAAAAACCAATTTATCCACTATTCCTATGAGCAGTTTATATACTTTGTTATTATTCATGTGCCACGATACAGTTAAACTTACAACAGTTGGTGGCATGTGTTGATGAAAGTAAGAGAGAAGTTGAGGGAATATTAAAGAAAAACAAACCCTGACAAGGCCTCACACACAGGCACAGTAATTCTCTTGCAAGTTATGGAAAAATTTGTCATAAGTGTTCAGCAGTGGTATGCAAACTATTACGGGACATTTTGTTATATGCTTCCTTGTAAGAGCCTTTTAAATAACCTTTTGGACATACTTAAATGTCAAATTTTGTTTGGCACTAAGCACCAAACTTTAATAGAAATAACATTTCCCATATAAACAATGCTGCTTTTAATATGAACGTGCTAAAGATTTGAGACAGCCTGGCCATTACCAGCTCCTGGCAGTTCAGCACAAGGGTAACACACTGAGAGTGATTTCCCTTCCCATCCACAAAGGCTGGAAGCAACCCTTTCTATTTAGGAAACCTCTGAAGCATCCAGAGGAAAGGAAAGGATGGGAGGGCAAAGGGGTAACAAGACACTGAAAGTAACACTCACCACAGGTGAACGCTAATGTACACAATATTTTAAGGACGCAGAACTGCAACCAACTATTCCTCATCAAATTTCTTGTAGCATTATCAGGATAAATCAGACTGCAGAGAAGAGAGCTCCATGGGGAAGAGCCTTGAGAGGAGGCATTTGGATGCTTGGTGTCAAAAGGGGCATCATTGGAGATGCTAAGTGAAAGGGGAAGGTCTCTCTGCTGGAAATGGATAGCAAGAAACAAGTTGCAATTCCCATGGGGTGAGGAGCCAGCTATCCTACAGTCAAGGAGACAACACAGTTAACAAGCACCTCAGGTCCACACGGTCACAACTGTTTCTTAAAATGCTCAGAGGATGCTTACTTAATACATCTAAGGCAAAGCCTGTAAAACACAGAGGAGCCTTTGGGAAGATACCTCAGCCACGATTCAGGCTCTCCTGCTGAATGTTACAAAGGGTCAAGCTCTCAGACTTCCTTCATGCACTTTGAGGATGCCTGAAAGCTGCTCCCTCACAGTTGTTACATCTTCTCTGTGCCCAAGTAGGTGATCTTTAAGGTCCCTTCCAACCCAAACCATTCTATGACATGACACACTCAGCAATGGTCCCAAAGTATGGACTCGACTTCTGGGAGAGCTAACTTTGAGCCTGCACAAATCACTGCAATATTACCCAGATAGTCTCCCTGAACCGGGTGGGATTCACCACCTCCATGGTTTAGTTGTTAATAAATGTGTGAGGAGAGAGAAAAGGAAACTCCATACACCAGGACTTCACGCCTCAGACCCCTGAAGAGGTACTTCAGAGCACATTTATAGCAAACAATAATATTTTTACATCTGAATTAAATATTTCTTTCCAGGTGTTTCTTGTCAAATGTGTCCCCGTTTATCACAGGATTAGGGGTGGCTTTGCTTGTCCCAGTTCTAGTCCCCAGCTTGCTTTTTCTCCCTCTGCTCAAGCCCATTGTGTGTGCTGGGCCTTTCCTTTTGTCACAGCATGATCCAGCTGTGAGAGACAGGGCCCTCCATGTTCCAGAAGCAGCCTGAATGTGCAAAACTACCTCACTGCTCTTCAGTCCTACCCATATGATTAACATCAGATTCCCCTAGTACCCCGTTATCTTCAGTTTTACTCACTCTCTCCTGGCTCTTTTATCAGCAATCACACAGAGTTAGCTAGGTCATGCAGGTCTTCTATTTCGTCGTGCCAGGCTCGCATCAAAGAACTTTTTTTTTGTTGATGTGACATTGATGCCATTCAGCTCCAGCATGAAACACTGCCTTTGGTCTAACAAAAACAGCCATAAGAGTCACCACGTGGCAGCCATACCCAACCAAGCTCTCTTGAATTCCAAAGGCACAAAAGTGCTGGAATGTATATTTCATATACATATGAATGTTAAATATATTTTTATACATGCACACACATATATATGTGTGTATATATATATGCATATGTATACACATATAATATTTCAAATGTACATACACACCTCGGTATACCAGTGCCAGCCAATATATGGCTAAGGAATTCAAAATTTCAAGGACAGACACAGGTGAAGCTGTCACCTTTTAATATCATTTTGCTTCCTTCACTGAAACAATGTACATATATCCACAATATATAAATTATTTTCATTCAATATGAAATGCAGACCTTCTACACAGCGCAACAGAACAATGCAGTTGAGAAAACAAAAAGGCAGTTGTGCTACTGATTTTTTTAGTAAAAATGCATGCATTCCGCAGTGTATCTGAGATTTTCTTATTTGTCATGTTAGAGGATATATTTTTATCAATATTATGTAAAGAAACTTGGTAAAATAGATCTAGTGGAGGGCTAAATGCAACAATCTCAGTCCTCAAAGGGTTTTAGACAGGCAATTAGCTGAACTCTGCACGGCAGCTACCTTCCTTAAGACCAAATACATATTACTCCACTGCCGCCTAGAACGGAATATGCAAGATGAATGCCAGTTCTCATGTAGAAGCAGATCTCAAACACTGTAAGCAAAGACACTGCTTTGCTGATCTAACTGAAACTCCAATATTTTAATTCTGGAAAGGATGAAGTAGAAAACAAAATGAGTGGCTTTACTGTGAGCTAAATTAATAACCTCTGAACGAGCTAACAATACCTCACGCACTAGGATTTTTGTGTTAGTTTTTGTAAAGCTGAGAAAATGCAGAACTGCAAGTTCGTAAAAGCAAGCCAAGAAAACAGATGTATTTTCATTGTTAAAGTACCAAAAAAACTGCGAATTTTGCCTTTGGTTATTTTTACTTTATTTTGGTTTACATGCCTATTTTATTTTCAGGTTTTCAAAGGAACTCAAACCTCCATCAACAGAAATCAGAATTTTGTCCAGTTTCAGCATAAAACCAAGCATGACCCAGTTCAGATAACGAAACCACAGGAAGAGTATAAATCATAAGCTACATCATGAGAAGAGAAAGTAGATCATGAGTTAAGCTTGGAGTTTACTCACTTGGTCTGTATTTCATCAAAAAGCTCAACCTGTTCAGGACAACAGTAGGACTAGAATCGAGGTAAGTTTTAACTCATTTTTCCTGTAACAAAAGGGCTTTTTACAGATTTTGCAAGTGCTGTGAATAGGTGGGAAATGTTGCATTCCACAAGCATATCCATTAGAGCTTTGTTAAATAAACCTAATAACGTTACAAAAATTTGAATTTAATTTCAGTTACACCAAATGGTGACTCCAAAATTCCAAACCATCTGAAGAATGAGAAGAAAAGCAGTTGCTCTGCAGAAAATAACTTTGCCATCCCATTCCGTAACAGGCTGATTTGAGTGAGCTCAATACTGTTCTACATAAAGGCTTTCAAAAGCCATTAATAAAAATGCAGCTCTGACTTTCCAGTTGATGCACAGTCATCTCCCATGACAAAAGCAGTACAAGGGCATATTTTGAGAGAGTGTATTGACTGATGGCTGGTGCCTACCTGTCTACAGGTGAAGACTTTGAATTCCGTGGTTTCTTCACTTGCGCGTACAAGGCTTCCACCGTCTGTCCTTCCCTCGGGCTCTGTGGTCGGGTGTTCAGTGTTATCGTGCCACTATTTGAAGAAGAGTCATAGGAAGTGATCCCAGCATACATTGGATCTGCATCACAGCCAAACGTCCGGTTAAAGTCCTGTATTTCTGCATAGTCACGTTCTCGAGCTTGTCTCTCCCGAAATTCTCGAGTTTTTGCTTGAATTCTGAAAAAGTAAAAGAAGGATGAAACTGATGGCTGTCCCCCTACCCCAGACATATAAAGAAGCAGTTAGCAGACAGTTTAGGTAGCATATCTTAATGAAAACCACTGCAGTTTCCAGTTTCAGTTTGCCATGGGGTTTACCTTGGATATTGAAGCCTAGATTGAAGCAGTGCTACAATCAACACTGCTCTTTAAGGAGCAAGTCTGATTATGTACTGTCTTAATTCATTAAGTTAATAATTACTGGTCGTGGTTGTCGGTAAACAGTTTACCTTTTATTTCATGCATCTTAGTATGTCTGTGCTATTACCAAACTTATCTGAGAATGGTCTGATTCCATTCATATTCACTTCATCAAAACTTGTCAGATTTAATGGTTCTAATGCCTGTATTTAGAGAGGAATTTTAATGTACTTTCTTAATACTACAAAAATCATATATTTTTTTTCAGAATTTAAAAACTGCATAAGGATAGGATACATGTACATTTGCATTCATGCAGTAAACAGCAGAAGCAGATTCTTGTATGAGTCACTTGAAATGTGCATGCTTTGTTTAAAATGTAAACAAACTGAATCTGGCATCTCTCAAAAGCAGGTTGTATCTTCCCAGGAAGTAACAACATGTGCCTTGTGTTAAAGTTACAAACGAAAGGTGATGCTGTACTGGGAATTTGTATTTACGTGCACTATTTTAGCCGTATGATAAAAAAGTGACAGATAGAAATAGATGACATTTAGGAATCTGACAAACACAAATTGAGCACAGATCATACCTTCAAAAGCATACAAAGCTATTACAAAAATTTGATCTGGGCTTCGAAGTTTCTTTGGCATTTTAGAAAATTTGATGTATCACACACGCAGTAAACTGACCACACAACCCCACTCACATTGTCTCCCCAGACCAATTTAATGCTCTGTCATCATTGCAAAACGAAGCACTCAGCTGTCTCCTCCCTTCCATTAGTAAAATGTGCTCCTTTTTCATCTAATACAGCCATGGCTACAGTGTGACAGCATCCATCCATGCAGACTACAGGTCTGTGCATCTCTCTTGTGTGCCATTTCCAAAAAGAAACTTTTAAGAAGAGCAGCCTATTCAAAGCCTATATCTCTTCTGAACGTAAGCCTTGTCTCTTCTGGAAATAGAAAAGCCTTAAAGTTAGGTAACTTTGACGTTCCCTGAAATTTTAAACTAGCCCAATTCAAGATTAGTATTACAAAACCAAAAGGGAATACACAAAGGGTGGGATTCAGACTGCACATAAAGACATGAGAATTCAGGTGCCAACAGTAGGTGAGCTCACACCAGGCAAGTGTGCAAGCTGCTTTGACGATGGCAGGGAGCTGTTGGTAGCAGACTCCAGAGTTAGAAGCTGCTGCATAGTCATTGTGTCCCAGCATGAAAGGAGTTGCTCTACAGACACTTTTGATGCTGTGATTTAGGTCTTCCTTCAGAGCTTGGATGCCCAGCCTTGACTCAACTGCTCAAACATAAGAGCTATGGGCACCTGCCACCCCCAGGTAATCCTTCTGGATTTCCAGCTGCTGGGCAAGGACTCCATAGGTCATGCTGAAGCCTCAGAGACTGATCACCCGAATGACACAAGACAACTGTGTTCAAGTATGTGAATCCAGCCCAGAGTTGGTACGTGAACATCAAGTGTGTCTTCATCAGATTGAGTCCCAAGCAAGTTGTTCCTTTACACTAACAAACACCATAACAAAAGAAGGGAAGAGAAGGATGGCATAGATAGACAGACCTGTTTTCCCCCTCAAATCCTGCAGCTATTGATCACAAACACTGATTTGGGATACAACTGATTGGCTGAATTCCTCTCAACAGCCAGAGCCATCTACATTGATGGTTCAGTGATTCATTTACATGCCCCGAGTTAAACCTCAGTACTCCTCTTTTTATGCTTAGTACCACTGATTTGTGCACCACAACTCATATTCAGTCACAGTGGAAATTTTTTCTTCAGCAACATCAAACCAGAATTGGTTTTTGTTTAATTTACAGCGGAGGAGGACTCAAGTTCAAATCCAAAACTCATTTCAAATTTAAATTGTGTTTCTGCATACTTATATCCTAAAGCTGTAATTCAGAAATGTAACAGCCCTAATCACTTGGAAGGTTTCTATGTAGAAGGAAAGACAGGCCTGAAAATCACCTGTGCATGTTGATTCCTTTCTCTGCAGTTTAATTTTTATTTGTAGTCCTGTATTAATTACCCTGTGAAGGAATGCATTTGTCTACTGATATTTGTCCTCTGAATGGAAGAAGCAAAGGAAATCAGAAATTTCCTAGACATTGGTAGATTTAATTCTTCTTTAAATGGACAATGTATCATCACATACTGGAACACTATCTGATGCCAATTTGAAAGAAAAAAATCCATGTATTTTAGATAACCAAAATTTCAGTGTATGAAATCAGACAGTATAGCAATAATGTGGCATAGAGTAATTAATTCAGAAGAAAGTATTGTTACCTGAAGTGCTTATAAAACAGAATTACCTTGTGATAACTGGTGATATTTACCTTAGTGTTATACTAACTGCTATGAGAGAGGATGATGAACTTATGTAACTTTCGACCATGAATATCACATCACTCTCCACAGGTCCAGACACAAGTGGTCCCTGTTTCATGTTAACCACCTTTTCTCATGCATCAGCTTATTATTTCTTTCGTAGTTTGGATGCAGCACCATTTGCAGCAAGAACATTCAGATTTCCCATGCAGGGTCTGGTGAGGGATACTTATTCCCATTCAAGTGGGAAAGAACTGATTGTTGAAGAGTTATGCAACTAATTATGTTCACATCTACCAGGAAAATTTTTAGAATATTTTCTACAACTGCTAATACAATGTGTTAATATACACAGTATTAAAAATCAGAGTCTAAATGCAGGACGATCTTCCTGTTAATTATAACCAAAGTACACAGTAACCACTTGCAATAACATTTAACAAAGGATAACCCTAAAATGAAAGGTATAAGATGTCTGACCATACTGACACCCAAAATGTTCTGGTTTTTTTCTCCTAATTGCGATGCTTTTTTTATGTTGCCCCCTCTCCATGTGCTCATGTGTTTATATGCATGATATACCTGAAATCACTTTTTAGCATATACTGCATTAAATATATATATGTGAAATGCCAGTGCAGAGTCTTGTGGGGAAAAAATTAAAATGATTATGTAAACACACTGTGCAGCACAGATGAGAACCTAGAACTTGCTCTGTACTTCAGCCCCAATCAGCAACACTTCTGCTATTGAAATCCAGTATCTGGAGAAGTGTTTGACCACAGTGCTTTGGTTTCATAATGTGGATAAGTGTATTAAGCTGTCTTCACTGAATTGTATTCCTTCATGACACGGTACAATAAAAATGCCTACGTCTGAAATTTCAGATCAGCTAATTTTGAGGATTTATGGCCTTCCTAAGGATTTTGTGGGGGTTTAACAATAATAATAATGCTTACCATTCACATAACTCTTTTCATCATCAAAGAATTTTTGCAAAAACTGTTAATCAATCTGGCAGTGTTTAAATTAAACTGAACTTCTAAAAATACAAAAGCTATCCCAAGAAGTTTCTATACCCTTCCTGCTGAAGTGTTAATATGGAAAATGTCAACAATGTACTGTCATGCTTTTGAGACTCAAATTATAATGTTCAGTAAAGTACAAACTATCCTCATGCATTTGTGTGCCATTCAATTCAAAAGCTAATGATAACTTCTTCAAATGACAATATTGTTAGCTGCAGAACTTCCTATAATTGTTAGAAGAGCTTTTCATTGCAAGCTAATCCAGTAATGACAGACATACCCATTTTATAGTGATTCCTATGCACATGAAATGGTGGTCACAAAAAGGAAGGGAAAAGCTTATGCACGGCTGTCCTCAGCAAACAGCAGCTACCTCGTTCCATTCTTCAAAACTCTGTGAGTGATGTTCAGCTTTCAGGTGAAGGCAACTACCATTTTAGACATCTAAGTTTAGGTGTTGAGGTATGCTTTGAACTCCCAGGAGAGCCAGCCAAGATTCAGTCACACCAGGCAGATGCTGCAGGTTCCAGAGGGCAGTTCAGTTGAACATCTGTAACATGGCCATTTTAAGGTGAAGCCAAGCCCTTCTCCAGGCTCTGCCATCTGTGCTGAGTACCCCTCCCTTGACCACAAAGGGTATTTAGCCATATAGCTCATATTTGGGTACTAAATAATCATATTAATTTGATTCCAATTCCACCCTGAGCTAAATGTTTACAGCAGGTCTCTGAACTAAACTTCAACTTTTTCAGCAACAGAAAATATGTGGTGCTGGCTGAGCTGTTGTGAGTAAAAGTGAATAAGCAAAGTCATCAACAGAAGAGAAATCAACCCTAATTTCATATAGTGTTAGAAATAGACTACAAATATATCCCAAATCCCTTGGGAGCTCCAGCTTCCTGTGAGGGATTTTTTCATTTTAGTGATTTAGATCCTAGCAAAAAATTACCTACTTATCTTAATTGATGAACACAGCATGGGAAGGATATTCATGGCTAGTGCATTACATTTCCCGTTGGAATGGCAGCTCTGTCCTCCTCTAAGAGCAGAAACAAAGTTGGCTGCTGCTTCTAGTGTGCAAGTGCTTGGTCAATTCAATTAATCCTCCTGCTGCTGCCAGGATTCAGATATTGCCCAAGTGATAATTCACAATCTCATCTTTTCCACTGAGGCTCACCCATTTACAAAAGCAGTATCGAATGCTTGCAGTTCCACATATGTGAGATGGCTGACAATGTTTATTAAGGATAGAAACAGCATTGTATAAGGACAGAAGCTAAATGACAAGCCATTCACGGCTGCCAGTTCTCAGTTGTTCTACCATCAGACTGGCATGCGTTGGAATGATGGATTGGAAACAGAGAAAAACAACCACACGTTTATAAAACCAGTCAGCTTGTTCAAGTTAGTCCAGTGGGATGAACACATTTGGTC